AATGTTATATGACATTTACATCACAAAAAACTATGTCACTCATTTCCGCCAGTCTGGCTGTCGGTGTGTCCGCTAATCGTTTACACAGTGTTACTATGACAAAGACGCAAAAGCTTTGTATCCTGGTTATTATCGGATTTTTTTTTTGTAGGGATTGAAAATTGGGAGTTAGGGAATGCAGATGGTGAGAAAGGTAAGTAATTAAACTAACATAATTATTAGACATATTTCACTCATCATAGAAGTCCCCGTACATTTACCCTTACAACTTAGAAACGTCTCTCTACAGTCGAGTGTGGAGTCGATACGTGCGACGTCGTCCCCCGACGGACGAGTGTCTACGTCGGCGGTGGTACGACACAGTCGGCAATCGCTTCTCTACTGCCGTGGGTTGTGTGCACTGTGCATCGGTCAACAGCGTCGTTTACCCGGGATTGGTCATGGCAACAACCATGTGCGCCTGCAGCAATTGCTCTCAGGGGGAGAAGGCTGTCATTTAGTTTTTTGTTATAAATGTTCGAACCTAATTTTTTTCTCAGAAGGGCTAACTTGTGCCATACATAATCCTTTACGAACTGATGAGAGCGTAGCGTGGAAAGTACAGAGTCAACTTTCTTGACGCGATTTAGCTGATTTTGTAAACTAGTGCGAATGAAGAACAAGTTACTTATGCACCGGGATCTACCTCTTTTCTCCTTGCATGCTAAACCGCACACGTCGACATTATGCCATACATTGAGTGACAGTAAGTATCGGAAGGTGCGGTCGGGTCGAAGAAAAATAAAAACTAACCGATCGAATGCGGCCTGTCGGTAATTTTCTGGAAGAATAACCATCGTATCTGTGGATTGCGTGATCTGCCTTCACGCTGGCTCCCGATATGTCTCGCCTGGACGAGCTTTCGATTCGTTTCGTTCGCTAGCTGGCTGGATAAGCAGCGACAGCAGTGAAAGTTTTTCCGTAGATGTTTATTGGTGATCTTTAAGCTTGGATTCGGTATGGGCAATACGGTTCATACAGGTGGCCATACACTTGCAACGATATGAGTATATATGTATATTTGCTGTACCTAAAAACTGCGCTTCAGCACTGGTCCTACCATTAAGCTTGATATTCACATCGTCTTTTAGATCTCATACCCTACCCTCATGCTGGCTTAGTGCTTCTGTTACCCCTGTATTCAAAAAGGGCGACAAATCCTCCGCTAAAAATTATCGATCAATAAGTCTCGTTCCTATCGCCGCCAAAATAGCTGAAAGAATCATATTAGATAAGCTCCTGTCATTTGCTTTCGAAAATGACCTTATCCCTAAGAATCAGCATGGATTCCTCCCTGGTCGATCAATAATGACCAACCTTCTCCACTCTCTCAACGATTGGACTCAGTATCTGGACACAAAGACTCCTGTTGATATAATCTACTTAGATTTTTCTAGGACTTTCGATCGCGTACCACATAGAAGGCTTCTGTTTAAGTTGGAATGTATGGGAATAAGAGGCGAGTTGTTACTGTGGATTAAGGCTTTTCTCACCGGGAGGACTTTCTCTGTGCGCGTCAGTGATAGCCAGTCTCACCTTCATCATGTAGCAAGTGGAGTTCCTCAAGGCTCTGTCTTGGGGTCAGTGCTGTTCCTTCTGTATACAAGTGACCTGCCCGCATTGATTTCCTACACATGTTCAGTTTATGCCGACGACACCAAGATTTACAATACTGTCGTAAATTCTGCTATGCTTCAACGAGATCTTGATATTGTTTGTCAATGGTCAGTTAGTTGGCTTTTACCCTTAAATCTAACTAAGTGTTGTGTCCTTCACCTCGGGAAGACAAATCCGCGATTTACATACAAGATCTCTGACCACAACATCGAAGCAGTTTCCAGCCACACTGATCTGGGCGTTGTAGTCAACGATCGTCTTTCCTGGTCAGAGCATATTCACAACGTTACATCAAAAGCCAAGAAACTTCTATACATGCTGGAGAGGTCTTTCAAAGGATCCGATGTCAACACTTGCGCCTACATTTACAAGGCATTCGTGAGGCCAATTCTTGAATTCGCTGGCCCGGTATGGGACACTGTACTTCTGCGCGATAGAAATCTCGTCGAATCAGTGCAGCGTCGGGCTACTCGTAACGCTTTTGGAGCACGAAGACCAAGCTATGAAGATCGCCTTGAATTATTCAACCTGACCTCATTCTCTGAGCGAAGACTTCGTGGCGATCTTATAGTTACGTTCAGGATACTTCATGGTTTGATGGGCACCAACCTCATGCATCTATACCGTCCGTCGCGAATCTACGTGGACACAGCTTCAAACTGCATAAGGAGCCATTTAAAACAACAGTCCGACAGTGGTTTCTTCCCAACCGCATATTCAACACCTGGAATAGTCTACCTGAAAGTGTGGTTGGTGCTACTTCAGTTAATAGCTTCAAAGTGCAGTATGATAACTGGAGGAGTGTACAAACTTTATAGCTATGAACTGTCTTTTTTGATTTTTTTCTATTTGATGTATTTGTGTTACGTGTCCGTACACTATATTTACTGCATGAGCTTATAGTACTGTGTACTCTGCTCTTCTCAATTATCATAATAATAATAATAATAATAATTATAATAATAAATACAGAATGGTCCGTGATGGTTTTCCCCCTCAAAAAAGCTAATTATTCACTTGTATTGGCACCGAGCTACGAAAAAATAATAAAAAAACCCATCACGTGATTTTTGGAACACTTTTTCGTGTTTCCTATTATTACTGTCTATTAATGTCTGGAACAGCGGAAAAACAATGGCGTCAAGTGCATTGACTTTGCACTTCCTACGCAAAGCAGTCAGTTACCAGCATGTACCAGATAGACATTAAACAGATTAAGGGGGATTTCACTAGGATTGTCTCTACCTATATGTTAACATTCTGTCAAATAGAGCGAATGAGCTTCAAGTTCCAGTCAACAAAAATTTTAGCAACCAATAACTATGAAATGTTGAAAACAAAATATGTACTGTCAAAGTATGAGATGGCAGCTTGTCATTGAAACATCCCCAGCTTATTGAATATTAAGAAATTATATATTATTTGGTCAAAATTTAAAGAAGTGTTCGATTTTTGAATAAAATTCATGTTTTCATTTAATATTGTCGATTGTTTATTCATGTTTATATTATTTTCTCCAATTGATATGCGATTTTGCAGATAGCCATTAAGCACCTACTTGATGACAGGCTCTACCAAAAATTACATAGATATTACTCGTTTCCAAACATTCCTTCATTTACTTGCCAATCATCAGTACCATTATAACACCGCCGATTGATATTCCCACAAAGCCATTCAAGATTTTTGATATCCATATATCCATAAAGTCAAATATTTTTTTGTAGTTCAGGAACTGAACAAACATCCACACTATATTTACAGCGATTAAGAAATACTCAAATATATGTCGTAAAGATACCGATAACCTTAAAACCTGCAAAAAAAAATAGAATTTGCAATAACTTTCTTGTTTCACTAAGTACACATTCTAGGTTTTATATTAGACATTATTTGAATAACAGCTGATTATTACATTTCAAAACTCCCCAACGAGTGACACATGTGTGGGATCCGTCAACCCTTGGTCCCAGTCCTACTATATAAGACTATACGTGGAATTTTTCCCAAAATCGTTGCACAACACTTGAAATTATATCCATGACGCCCCAAAATAGCTCCGTCGGTACCTCGGGTTATACGTCTTGACAGTAGGGATGTTCGATACGATCCAATATTTAGAAGTATCGATACTTTTGCTTCTCATACCCGATATTTTGGATCGATATTTTTATATCCGACACTTGGGTGTATCGATACATTTCACGAGTGTCTTACGATCCGGACTGTGTCAGAAAGAGTGACTAACTTCAGATTACTTTTCTTCTTTGTTTCCTTCCGCTGGATATCGATAATTTTATTCCAATATTTTAGAGTATCGATAAGAATCAAATCATATCGATACTTTTCGTGGATCTAAACATCCCTAATCTAGACAGCTTGTCGTGCTTGTCAACTGGGTTGCAGGGTGCGATGTTGCCTTTACTATCTTACATTTTGCTAAAATCTTATGACAAATAAAAGCTTCAAATGAAATAATGACGAATATGAACGGATATGCATAGAATTTAGAACATAAATTCATATTGCAAATTTCAGATTTTCTATGCATGGACTTGAACCGGATTTTTCGGTATTTTTACCGAAAAGAGAATATTCACCGATAACATCATTCTCCACGATTTTTCAATTTAAATATTTCTATACTTGCCGAAAAAGAGCTGAAACCAAAAATAAAAACTAAAAGTTAATTTTATGTAGTCTTCATAGTTTTATGCTCCATATCAATCATACATATGCATACACACTCGGGCAGTCGGGCACATGAGAGGCGTAGATTTGGGTTGCCTATGATCACGAACGCACATCCTCATCCCTTACTCCGCTTGCCCTGAATTGATTTTTGTGCATATGTTACCGCTAATATCCAAAATCCGCTAATATGCATAAAAACTACACATAATAGGAATTATGCGTAAATACTAAAACCGTCGGTTAGTATGCAAAATAACGGCACGTATCAGGAATTATTAATAAGTACTAAAATAATCAGTTATTATGCATATTCACTGTCCAAATTAGAAATTATGCGTACATACTGAAGCTACCAATATCTTATGTTAGTGATTAAGCATAATATCACGTAACGTCAAATTTGAAATGCTATGTAGTTAATGATAAAATAGAAATATATTACGAGTAAAGTATACCATTACCTAACATTTAATATATATGTAATTCTACAAAACTATATGGTATGCATAGATGAAAATTAAACATATTCAGAAATCAGAACGAAAAAAAAAAAACATAACCGTAACATTTCAAACGACTACATAAAAATTATTTATATTATTATATTTATATTTATTTATTGGAACAAGAAGAGCTTTGATGGCACTTACTATTGCATAATCGATAATTATTTTTACAGCGGCAGGTATTGTTTTGGCAGAATTTTGTGCAATTGCATCGTTGATAACCTTGATTAGTACCAGAAGCAATTGCAGCTGCTTTTCGAAGAGAAGTTGAAATAGCTGGAACATCACTAATATGAAGGAAGTCCGAATTTAAGCAAGGTTCAAATTGAGAGCGCACATATAATTGCTGTAATATCCCATCCTTTGTTCCAAGCCTATAATTTCCATTATCTTCATCTACTTCCATCACAACAGCAATTACATTGCGGAAAGATCCACGAGCACGGTCGACATCCGGAATAGGAACAGTGACATTAGATTTTGTGATGCTTCACTTCTTATTTCCAAAATTTGTGTATTTCGATTTTCTAGTGCTCTTGGAATATTATTTGGGTTGTTTTCGTTATTATCTGTTTCCTGTTCATCTATCTCATAGTCGTAACATTGCAAAAGAGCATCCAAATCCTCCTCAGTAACAATTTCTTGAATACTTTCTACAGGTCGATTTTTAGTGGCAAGACCAACTTTCGGTTCACAGCCAAACAAAGCTTTATATGGCGACATTTTCACTCCAGCATGGAAAGACCTATTTTTCATAAATTGCGCTGTAGATAAGCCTTTCGACCATTCTCTAGTTTTGTTGTCAGACATCCAGGTGGCTAGCATTGCCTCAACGTCGGCGTTTGCTCGTTCGACACTCCCTTGACTTTGGCTGTGACGGGGTTTTCCATTTACCAATTTCAGACCTGGCCATTCCACTGTTAAGTTTCGTATTATTTCATTAACGTACTCTCTTCCATTATCACTGAAATAAAAAAAACTCATAAAATAGAATTAAAAGCATTAACAGTTAGGTAGTAGGTACCTGTGTAGTATTGATGGAGCTCCAAAAATACAAAAAATATCTTTGATATGCTGGCTTACTTCAGATGCCTTCTTTGATTTTAATCCACGTAACATAACAAATTTAGTGAGATGATCTTGGTAAACAAGTATAAACTTAAATTCACCATCAGCTTCAGACTGCATATCTATCAAGTCGACTTGAGCACGGCTATTAAATTCTTTGTGAATTATTGGTTTTACAGTGATACCTTTTCGCTTTTTGGATCGCTTTAAATGACAAACTTCGCAAAGTGACAAGTATATTGAAATGATTTCTTGTGTAATATTCGAATACTGTTTGGACATTTCGGTCTTCATTCGATCTCTTCCTCCGTGACCTATACCTCTGTGACAAACGGTTAAAATATCAAACATTTCTTCAACGGGAACAACATAGCGAACATCTCGTATGTCAATCACTATATTATTAGAATCTTCATTATTTTCCTTTCCCGTTTGCTCTTTATTTCGCGTTACAAGCTTTTCAATATTTCCGACTTCAACTATTCCAAATCTTTTAAGTCTACGATACTGTAATGGAGTTTTGGGACCATTATTTGATGAAGCATCCCTAACCTAGAGAAAAACATCAGGAATTAAACGTTAAAATATAGGCACTATATTAGTTTAAAATCATTCTTACCTCGGATAAAAGCACGTCATATTCTTCCTTGAATAAAATGTTCAATCGTGAGTTTGTTCTTCCCTTCAACTTCTTAACTTCATCGACAAATTTAAATTTAATGTTATCAATAGGTAGTGCAGTCATTGCGATGAGAAACTCCAACAACAAAACAATCAAAACATAACCTCAAACTTCAACGCACGCTTCAAGGCACGACCAGTCGTATTTTGTGAGGTTACATGTATAATCACTAATATACACAGCAGATATTATGCATAATTCCTATTGCTGTGTCAGTTATTATCAATATTTACTAAAAATATGGCGATATTTTGCATAATTACTGACGATTTTAGTAGTTATCGATAATTCCTGATACGCGCCGTTAGTTTGCATACTAACCGACAGTTTTAGTATTTACGCATAATTCCTATTATGTCTAATTATTATGCATATTAGCGGATTTTGGATATTAGCGGTAACACATACAAAAGGTACAGACTGGTAGATTACCGTTATTACCTCATCACAGGATAAGCAAGAAAGAAACCGAAACCTGTCTGTTTTCAAAATAGATATTTAATTAAAATGACAGGTGAGTTCATGAGTTCAGGGGCAAAACAGAAAAATATTCACAATCCTATAAGCAAGAATCGAAAAAGGAGTTTACAGAATGGTTGCAAAGTACTTTGAAAAAGCGACCAGAATGCACATTGTAGAAGTTGTAATATAGAACTATGCCCTCAAAAAACATGTTGTGTGCCCGCCCAATACAATAACAGACGTTTTTCATGACTCAAAGGTCCTTGATCTACCACTGATCTTGGGACGGCATTTTCCTTATACCGAATTCAACGACATTATTTACCGATTGCGTTTTTTTTTGCCGGTTAGGAAACACTGCAGATGTGCAGATTACTTTAAAAGCAATTGATATCCCAGACGTATTATAATAATAGAAATAACAAGAAAATATAACAATGTTTGGAGATACGTATATTTTCATAAATAGGTATTTTTGATTCTGTCATAATATCTAGACGATCAATAATAGGTGGATGCGGATACTTTTACAAATATCGATGTTTTAGGACTCAGAAATGCAGAATGTGCTGTTTGTTTACATTTGGTGTGGATTTCTAGATCATAAAATGGAAAAAAAATTTTTGATGTAACAAAAGATGATGAACCAGATGGAATATGTTTTATATCCTTTTTTTGCAAAATAACAAAAATCGGTACATTTCTACAGGTACGTATTATGTACAACACCCTGTACGTGATATACAGACAAAACTAGATTGCCATGCATGAACAGTCGTCAAAAACAGTGAAAACATCCTTCTAAATATAATAGCTAGAAAATCGACCTATTATTTCTCTCATTTTCATTGGTCCATTTAAATAACTGACCGTCTTTTGGGAAATGATAAAAAATTTAAATTCTATGAAAGTTATCCTAATTCTAAAAGCACAAAGACATAATATTATGTACCTTATTTATAAAGCAACCGTTTTTTTACGACTTTATTCAAACTTTCAATAGAAATTACTGATATTCAGAGAGCTTTGACAGCTTCCGTCAAATTGCATTTCGATAAGGTCTTTTCCTATTGGTCCAACTGACCGTCAAATATTAATGTTGGTGAAATTGGCCCAAAATTAGTCGAATAGGCCTATACAATTAGTCATAGACATTCTTTCCCCGACCCACCGGTAGTTACTGTCCATCTGGCAACGTTGTCCCTTTCCGCATCTGTGCGGCATCGCTGCAGCCAGTTCGTTCATTTCGTGCATGGTCCGTGAATGTTTTTTGGGCTCCAGTACGGATAGGTTAGAGTCTGCCGAATCGGTTAGCCGCCGGTCAGATTAAGGCCCGTATCGTCAGTCGTCCCTACAATTGTAGGGCGCCTTTATGGCCTCCTTGATTGTCATACTCCTTTCTTTCCTTCAAACATTTCTAGATTACACTTGTCCCGTGTCAGCGTCAGCGCTCTCCTATTGTGAAGATATGTTTTCTTTTTAAATTGTAGGAAATTTCAGGTTGATAAAACATGATATAACTCAAAAGCAATTTTGATGCAAATAGATGTTTGTGACATAACCTCAAAATAGAGTTCTGACACGGAGAAGTAGAAAATCATGACAATCAATGAGGCCATAAAGGCGCCTTACAATTGTAGGGACGACTGACGATACGGGCCTAAATAGCAAGAGCACGTGGATCAAAAACATTTCTCTAACATTCTAAGTTTAAAAGGCAAATGTATGGGGAAATCTATGATGTGAGAAATATGGCTTATAGGTATATAGAATTACTGGGGTTGGGAACGTATACCAAGACCAAAAAAATTTCATATACACGCACCCACCACTACAACCCCCAGCCCCCGAATTTCAACCACTATAAAAAATTGTCTCTAAACAGCCAGGACACTCTGAAACGTCATTTTCGGCTTTTTTCTCCACCGCCACTGGACGGATTCTCAAAAACTATAAAGCCTTTTCATCCTTGGCATCGTAGCAACCTTGCGTGAAAATTTCATCTAAATTCAGGCGCGAAAGACAAATCGACGAAATGAGAAACTTGGTTTTTCGTACTTATATCTCATAAACATTCAAAAAACACAGTATCTCATTTTCGAAATTGTTCGCGATTACTATACTTCCTCATCCAGTGGCGTGGAAAGTAAAAGCGGAGCTGGGGCTGGAAATTGGCTCGTCTAGGGTAATACCTTAATATTGTTGGAAGATATTAAAATACTACTTGTTCTTTTTTTAACCAAAAATTATTAGGACCAAAAATCCTCCCATCGATCAGAATATAGCGAAATACGCTCAGCAATTTTCGTGAACATATACAAGCATATTATTTGACACTAACCTTTTCAAAGAGGATATAGTAAATATATGTAACAAATTCTCATAGATGACTCTCATTTTATCTCGGATAATTTTTTGGACGCGCCAATATAGCATTATGTTGGATATACGACATATTATGTAAAAAATTCTGGGATCATGCAATATCCTTGAAAGGTTATTTGAAAAAAGAAGTTTGAGACGCGCACTTCAGATGCCTATATCGGGTACCCCGTATACATTGTTTTATACAAAGTTTACATTTTGTGCGCAAACTACATAAAGATTATTAATATTATTACTTTAACATTATTTTAAACAAAATGTCCGACAAAAAGCTCACTGTCCGAACCTCATGATCAATCCTAATTTCAGCGACTTAGGTATGCTGAACAACATGCTGTCAAGTACTCATCAGTTGATGGTATTTTCATGTTCGAAAAATAGCCCACTTCGATAGCCCATTGTCCTACGTATCGTCGACCGTTATTCGTTACCGATTGATTGTGAAACACGCAGTCTGATGTCTATCGGGAAAACCAACGTCGTTATTCAGTGTCGTTCTACATACTTCACCAGGCACTCAAAGAATTGCCGGCTTTAGTTGTTTGATTGAGAGTAATTCTATCGGAAACAAATCAAGAATGCATTAGCCACTATTTTATAACATCAAGAGCAAATTATTCCAAGACATCACCCACAGACATGTTACTATCAATATCTCTTCAATTTATTCAATATGGCAATGCAAACGTCAAAGGTACAAGGTATCAAAGTAAGGATGCAGAAGGAACACAAACGCAGTGCTTTTTGAAATACCCCCAAAATTATTACATGTAGGGCCGATTTCACCAACATTAATATTATGGACCAATGGGAAAATACCTTATCGAAATGCAATTTGACAGAAGCTGTCAAAGGTCTCAGAATATTAGTGAATTCTATTGAAATATTGAATAAAATCGTGAAAATTCGACTGTATTATAAACAAGACCACTTTTTGATTCGAACATGATGCTTTTGTACAGAAAAAACAGGACAACTTTCATGTATTTTGATATATAAATCCCAAAATTAACGCAAGATTTGAATTTGCCGCCATTTGTGCAGTGAAGTGTTGGCAACCCTGAAAAAAAGCAATTTAACAGCTAACAGTATAGGGTTATGAAAAATGGAGCGTTACACGATAGAACAACGTGTCTTCATTATTAAAGAATATTTCAAAAATAGTGAAAGCTTGGCGGCTGCAGTTCGAAAATTTCATACAAAATATGACCGGAATAGTGTTTTAACTTCGTCAACTGTGAAGAGATTAATTGAAAAATTCATGGAGACTGGATCCGTTGGAGACGCCAAACACACTGGTCGTCCAAAAACAAGCCGTTCAAATGTGAATATCGAAGGAGTGCGTGAGAGTGTTGCGGACAATCCAGGAACCTCAATTCGACGTCGTGGACAAGAATTGCAAATGTCAAGAACCTCTCTACAGCGTATACTCACCAAAGATCTGTGTCTTCATGCTTACAAACTTCAATTAACACAACAATTGAAGCTTAATGAAGATGCAGAGAGAAGAGAGTTTGTTGAATGGATTATTGAACATCAACAAATGGACCCTGATTTTTCAAGCAAAATCATCCTAAGCGATGAAGCACATTTTCATCTTGATGGCTTTGTCAATCGCCAAAATTGCCGCATTTGGGGTTCGGAGAACCCACGTGTGATTGTCGAAAAAGAAATGCACCCACAACGCGTGACTGTCTGGTGTGGATTTTGGGCTGGAGGCATAATTGGGCCATATTTTTTTGAAAATGATGCTGTTCAAGCAGTGACTGTTACTGGTGCTCGATATCGCGACATGATTACACAGTTCTTTCTGCCAAAATTGAATGATATTGATGTACCCAATTTGTGGTTTCAACAAGACGGTGCCACATGTCATACAGCCCGTGAAACAATTCAATTACTGCATGAGACATTTCCCGGTCGTGTACTCTCTCGTTTCGGTGATCAAAATTGGCCTCCTAGATCGTGTGATTTAACACCATTAGACTTCTTTTTATGGGGTTATTTGAAATCACAAGTCTATGTCAACAAGCCCACAACCACCCGTGCATTAAAGGAGGAGATTCAACGCTGCATCAACGAAATTCAGCCACATTTATGCAGAAGGGTCATGGAAAATTTCGACAAAAGAGTGCGCATGTGCATGCAAAGCCGTGGAGGCCATTTGTCCGATGTGTTATTCCATACATAACCCTATCCTATGTACTTTATGAGTCAATAAAAATATAACTATTAAAAGACTAAAAATGGCATTTTCTATTTAATTCAAATCTTGCGTTAATTTTGGGACACCCTTTACTAAGTGACATATAAATCCGAACACCCAGTTTAAATGGTTTTATTTTAATAAAAGTTGGTGAATGTATTTATCTTACTGTAAATAACAAGTGACAAAATTTTCAGCCTTAACAGTTGGACATTCCGGTTTTTATACTGCTTTTTTTTAATTCACTAACGCTCTAAAAATGAATATTTCAGCCGCAGTAAAGAATCAACGTTGGCGGATTTTGGTTCTTGACATCCTTGACGATCGGTTACGATGCCTAGAGTACCGAGACCTGTACGATTTCGTCAACTTAGTGAGTTTGATAGGGGCCGTATAGTGGGACTTCGGGAAGCTGGACTTTCTTTACGGGCAATTGCAGTTAGAGTGCAAAGAAGTGTAGACACTGTGGTTAGGTGTTGTCAGGCATGGCTTCGAGAAGGCCGTACGCAAAGAGCAAGGGGCACTGGACGCCGCCGTAGAACAACAGACCGTGAAGATCGCCGCCTAAGATTATTGGCCTTAAGGGACCGTTTCTCCACTACCAGGTCCATTGCAAATGAATGGTTTGCAGAACACGGAAGACCTATTGGCATGTGAAATGTTTACCGACGAATGAGAAGTTTTGCCTTGTTTTCATACCGGCCACACTGGGTCCTCCCTAGAGAACACCGACGTAATCGCCTTGAGTGGTGCAGACAACGGTCACTCTGGGATCAGGAATGGAACAGTATTGTCTTTAGTGACGAGTCTCGATTTTGTTTAGGCATGCACGATGGTCGTGGCAGGGTTAGAAGGCGACGTGGTGAAAGGAGGAATCCACAGTTTTTTGTTGAAAGACATGTTCATCACACTGTTGTAGTTATGGTTGGTTGGTGGTGCTATCTTGACACCCTGGCAGATTCAACTTTCCAACAAGATAATGCCCGACCACATGTTGCAAGAGTCACAATAGACTTCTTTCAACATAATGATGTCACATTGTTACCATGGCCACCAAGATCTCTCGACTTATCCCCAATTGAGCACGTGTGGGATATGATGGGTAGGAGATTGCTCAATTTGCAACGTCCTCCTCAGACTCTAGAAGCACTTCGAGAGGAGTTGGTGGTTGCCTGGAATGAGATACCACAGGAGGACATTGACCACCTGATCAGAAGCATGCCTAGGCGCGTTGGAGAATGCGTAGCACATCAGGGTGCATCCACACATTATTAAAGGTCAAAAGGCTTTAAAGCAGTGCAATCATTTTGAAATTTTTATCATTTACTTATTATGCTTCATTAAGTATTTATACAAAATTTTATTAAAATGAAACCATTTAACAAAACATTAAATTATGAAAAATGTCATTTAAGTCCAAAAATCAAAAAAACTAGTAATGTTTATTGTTTGTCTATTTTTCTTTTTTGACTGGCGGGTATATCTATCTGTCACTCGCAGGGTTGCCAAGTCTAACGACGATCACGTCCCGTGGTGGAGGGTGCGAAATGAATCTTTTAAATTTGCTGGTTTTGAATTTTTTTCGTGAAAATATACTAGGTATCATGATTATAAGCATCTTTGGTAGATTGTTCGATCCGGAATGGGAAAGATCTCCTATTTATGAAAACATTTTTGGTATCATCTAACCGTTGCAATCAGTGCACAAACACTGTGACATATGATTTATAGCATAAACCGCTGCCCTATCAACACAACTGATGTAATCAGTAAAGCAACTGATGATTTGGGCATGTCTGGTAAGAACCTATGAAGTGAAACTCGCTAACTCCACAAATTTGAAGATTTTGTACAATTTCTTTGAAAATGATGAAAGACATGTCTGATTTGGCAGGGTAATGTCGCAGCCAAATGGCAGTCACTCTTTGTGACACAGTCCGGATGGAAAGATGACGATACTCGTGAAATGTATTGATACTTCTAAATATAGGATCGTATCGAACGTGCCTACTGTCAAGATGTACCGACGGAGCTATTTGGCAGCGTCATGGAAATAATTTTAAATTTTCATTTGCAGTTTTTCAAGTGTTATGCATTGATTTTGGGAAAAATGTCACGAATAGTAGCATAGTAGAGTATATTTCAACAGTTGGCGGAACTTACTCCACTGGGACCAGGAGGGTGAAGCGGGATATTAATGCACAATCTGGCAATCCTGTCGCACCCTCACAAAATGGCCGCTGTCAACCACACAAGTCACCGTGTTGTCATTGACTAGGATGGAATTAAACCTTCAGAGTATGTTTTGTGACTGGTACCAAGAGTTGACAGATCCCACACATGTGCCACCCCTTGAAATGCAATAATCAGCTGTATTGAAATAATGTCTAATATAAATATAACCTAGAATGTGTACTCGTGAAAAAAGAAAAATATGGCAAATTTGTAGTTTTTTTTTGCAGGTTTTAGGTTTGCTGGTAGCTTTAAGGAATATATTTGGGAATTTCTTAATCGCTGTGAATATAGTGTGGATGTTTGTTCAGTTCCTGAACAACGAAAAATATTCAACTTTATTGATGTATGGATATCAAAAAACCTGAATGGTTTTCTGGGAATATCAATCTAAGGTGCCATAATGGTTCTGATGAACGGTAAGTAAATGAATGAATGTTTGGAATCGAGCAATATCTTTTGGTAGAGCCTGTCATCAAGTAGGTGCTTAATGGCTATCTGCAAGAGGTTTATAGGAAAAAACACCCAGTATCACATATCAATTGAAGAAAATAATATAAACATGAATAAAAAATCAACAATAGTAATTAAAACATGAATTTAATTCAAAAATCAAACATTTCTTAAAATTTTGACTGAATTATATGTAATTTCTTAATATTCAATAAGCTGGTGATGTTTCAATGACAAGTTGTCGTCTCATACTTTGACAGTATTTTGTTTTCAACATTTCATAGCTATTGGTTGCTAAAATTTGTTGATTGGAACTTGAAGCTCATTCGCTGTATCTGACGGTCTGTTACCCTATAGGTGGAGAATAACGGACTGTTGTCGGTGACATTGGCCCTTTGTCTACCAAATAATTGAACCAATGAACGACTTTCCGTATAATATACCGAATAATACGAGATACGTATAATATGATATAGAGGGTGTAAACGTCATGATAGTCATTATTTAAATGGGTTAAAGGGGGTTAAAAGAAGCAAAAAGTTTCATATAACATGGGGGTCAAAACGGCATTTTTTTAGAGAAAAGCGACTTTAAAGTAAAATAAAATCTGACAACACCGCAATGCCAGACGCAAATTACGACGGAACTCAGTGTAAATAAAGATGGAGTTTGTCATTTTTCGCTCTTATATATTATTTCATTATTTGATAATGTACTCTTGAAATGCAAACAATTAAAACGGACTTACCACTGTCTCAGCGCTTCACCTGGTGTGTGAAAGTTTATTGAACGTATTAAAAAAATCCCTACTTATAAATAGATACATACATGGTTTCTCTTTTTAAAACCCATACTGCACTTTTTTTTATTTAAAGGTGTTCAAAATGTTGTTCTCCACTTTCCACACAAGCTTCATTACGACGAACCCAGTTTCTTCTTACTCTAGGTCCTCGAAGTTGTCCATTTATTATTTCAGCCGCATTAAAACTTTTTTCGCGAAGTTGTGCTTCAGTTGTTATTGAACCAGCCCTTTAAGTTCTCCCCAATACCACAAATCCATCGGATTGAGATCAGGAGATCTTGCTGGCCAGTTTCGAGGATCAGGAGCATTTCGACCGATCCAGCGATTTGGATAATGTTCATTCAAATACTGAATGACGACTCTAAAAATGTGTGGTGGTATATCTCGCAGATCTCGAGGTAGAATATTGTACAATGAGGTGTAGTTAAACTGGGGTGATTTTATATATGCCATAGTTCTAAAACGATTAGCTTTCAAAATGGAATTTCTGGTCTTATAGGTGTGATGTTCATTTTGTGTGCTGAAATCGTTGATGTTTCGCTTTACATAGTTAACACACTTATATACATAAATACATGGAACTGTCAAGAGGTTATTTTGAATAAATATGTTTTTGCAACTTTCGGCAAAATTAAGGTTGAACAACAATCTAATGATTCGTTTTTGTGATATAAAAACTGTTGATGCTTGTGGCTCTACCCCAGCATAAGATGTTATAAGACAAATGGCTGTATACGAGAGCATAGTATAGTGATAATAGGCTCTTTTTATCTAAATACTGCGTCATATTTAATATGGCATAATAGCCTTTATTTAAATGCATGCACGCATTCTCAGTTTGGGTGCTGAAGGAGAGATCTGCATCGAACCAACTACCAAGGAGTTTCACGCTATCCAGTAACTGTAAAAAAAGCTTTAAATTTAATGCAGTCTTAGCAGTTTAGTGTACGGCTTTTCTAATACGAAAGTTGATTGCGCTTTATTTAGGATCATCTTGTTTCTTTGGCACCAAACTTCCACTTCTTCAAATACGACTAGGACATTTTTGTGTTGTTCATCTACAGAACATCCAGATACAGTAATCGTGGTATCATTAGCAAACATTGTAACTTTGGTATGGGTTAATGTACATCAAATGTATTTAAAATTCCGCGTAAAATCCAAAATTGAATAACATGCAGGATGTTCGACTAGACAGGGTGAACTAGATCCCCAGAGCACGACCGGGCCACCAGGGCAGTGTCATCAGCATAGAGATAGGTTTCACAGCTGCTGGGGCAAGGGACGTCATGAATAAAAAGTGAATGAAGGACTGGTCCAAGAACCGAACCCTGAGGGACACCGGCTTTGATAGGCCGTGTTGGCGACAAAACGTTATTAATATTGATCCGAAATTTCCTACTCTCGAAAAAGAATTTCAAAAGTTTTAGGAGCCAGAAGGGGAAGTCCTTATGGATCAATTTGTAGAGAAGGCCCTTGTGCCACACCTTATCAAATGCCTTTGAGACATCCAGTAGCAAGATGCCAGTACTTTCGTTACGGGTGAACCCCCTGGTTACTCGTTCAACAAGCCTTATGGCCTGTAGCTCCGTACTATGCTCAGACCGAAAGCCAAATTGCACGTCAGGAATCACATTGTGGTCTGCCGAGAAATTTTCAAGGTGACGTCGAATCACCTTTTCAGCGAGCGTAGAAGGAGCTGACAGTAGACTCATGGGGCGATAATCCTGGGGGAATATCGAACCCACCTTCTTTGGAATCATTATGACATCAGCGGTCTTCCACGCCGTTGGGAAGTGCTGGGGCCTTAGCATGGCGGAGTCTCAGGAGATGCCGCTGATGTGCCGTGCAGCTCTTCAATTGAGGAATCTTCTGAAGATTCCTCTGAGGAAAAATCACTAACGGAGGCACTACTGCCACTGACGCCGTTGGCCCTAAAATATCTCCTGACGGATCTTACAATATGTTGCTCCTCGTCGAGGTCATTATCAAGGTCATAGTTGGGAGAGAACTGACTTTCCATTGCATCAGCGAAAACCTCGACCTTTTCCTCTGTCATACAGACTATGCCCCTAGGACCGTGGATGTGCGGGAGTTGTTCTCGCTTTCCGCTTCTGAGCGACTTTGCAACTTTCCAGAGAGCAATACTTGAGTCAAGCATCCCCGACAGAAAGTCGCTCCAATGCTCATTACGGAATTCATGAAGAGCATTTCTCACTTCATGAAAAAGATTCGTTGCTCTGTGAATCTCATCTGGGTGACAAGACCTCTTCGCTTGCTTAATTGCAGCTCTTTTGTCAGAAATTTTCTGACGAATGTTCATTTGACACCAAAGTGTAACGCCCCTCAATACCATGTGAACATTCAATGGGCGCAAACTGAAACCGGTAGCAAGCTATAAAACAACGAAACAGCATTACACAACACAACCACAAGAAGTCGTATGGGTTTCCTATGTGAAAAATTATATGAATCGGTCGCATAATATAAATTACAAGTAGTATTTTCGCATATGTAATGCGTATATTTAATACGCATTGAGGACATTTGTCCGCGGCCCCTTTGGCCAATTTTATGCTCTGATTAGTCGCTGTCCGTCCCGGTTAACCGACATCCTTCAAGTGGTTTTCGTGTTTCCTGAACGAATTGTTAGGATCCTGTATCGGCAAATGGGATACGACAACACGATGCAAACACAGAGGCGTAGTTTTATCACACTAAACTTTAGAAAAAATGTTTCTTCCTGTGCGAGCCGTCCTATACAACGCCTCGATATTCTCCAATAGTCTAAGGGTGGATTTCACAATTTAACAAACCATTATTCTGCACCAATAGAGTACGAGTACCAAACAGTCCGTTAAATATACCCAATCAGCCTCAAGATCTCTCCGTCAAATTTTTGGCAGCAAATAGCATCAAAGTATTCAAAACAAAATACTGTAAAATATGAAGTGACAGGTTGCCATTGAAATCTTTTCAGTTTATTAAATATTATGAAATTATGTAAAACTGAGCCAAAATTTTTAAAAATGCTTGATGTCTGAGTAAAATCTGTTTTTTCAGATTAGCTGAAGGTTTTTCCATGATTAATGCAACTTTTGTAATCCATATGTGATTATATCACCTACTGTGTGCTTATAGTTTATCCTATATTTGCAAACTTGCACTTCCAAACACTTAGATGAAAAAGCCTTTTCACTCAAATTTTTGTTAGGTATTGCATTTCAACACATTCATACACTTCTTTCCAGTTCCTCAACGATATTTTAACCCCACTGGTCCGAAACTGTTCAACAGTTTCAACATTCATACATTCAATTGCAGTTGCAGTTTTTTGTTTTAATTTCAGTGTATAATCGGTCGCACCATCGGTGATGGTACATTCAACATAACCACGTATTTAGGGGTTCGTGCAGATTTAACGTGTACACGACAGTGTAATATGTATTTCTTCACAAAAAAATCTTGGAGGGAGCACTTTTATACGGAAATTTGTTGTTAAAAAATTCCATTTTTCACACATAACAAAACAAGTGATCACAAAACATAGAATACAGTGACGCTCGAAAAGGAGAATAGACCAAAGGAGATCGGAATTGACATTTGAAATTAGTGTCTCATAATGTTAGTGATGGGAGAATACATTTGCGATCAGTGGAATGTATTGGAACGGTTAAAAAATATGAATTGAATCGTATTTACGTTATCTCGACTGAAAGACTGGAATATCTGCTCTGTTTCTGTGTATATATTTTTTGTGGTATTGTTGCATAAAGTAGTTGGTTCACAAACTAGTTCCTAGAACTGAACGCAACTTAATGAAACGAACTGGAAAGCACATAACTTTTTCAAGTAATCCAAGAAGGGGCAAATTGTCATTTCATCACACTAGTGATGGGAGAATCGAAAGCCTGAGATTCGCTTTGCTTCTGTGGCTCCGAGATATAGGTAGTGTTTTCTTCTGATAAAACTAGCGCAGTTTTTGTGTTAAAAATACTCTACTTTGGTTAATACCTTTGATCCTAAAGTTGCTCCCATAACAATATTAAACAACTCTCATGTCGTGTCGCGTATTTCGAAACGATGTCAAGGGCCGGCAGGGGAAAATCTTTCTCTTAAGGATAGACTCGGAGTATACGGTTACGGATGTTTATGATTCCTCTCGATATCGATATATCGTCATGAAACCATCGATGCGTAAAGTATTGTATCCCCACCAGTCACCAGTCAAAAACCTTAACCTCCAATATTTTATCTATTTATAATTCTTTTTAGCTCTTATTTTTCAGTAATTACTAATAATTATTCTATTTTCTTGCAAATCCGCACAATTCAACAGGTATGTGTAGCTATAATGATCACATATACATATACACACAGTATATTGAACAACAAATTTCGAGATTGCCATGTATTAACAAACGACCAAACCTGCTGCCAAATTTAACAGCTAGAAAATCGACCTATTATTTCTCCCATTCCCATTCGCTGAGGGGATAACGGATGGTCAAATGTACACCTATAACATAAATCAAAATACATGAAAGTTGTCCTGTTTTCTCTGTACAGAAGCATCATGTTGGAATCAAAAAGTGGTCTTGTTTATAATACAGTCGAATTTTCACGATTTTATTCAACATTTTAATAGAAATCACTGATATTCTGAGACCTTTGACAGCTTCTGTCAAATTGCATTTCGATAAGGTATTTTCCTATTGGTCCATAATAATAATGTTGGTGAAATCTGCCCTTATCATATTAACAAATTTCCCCGAAATAATTGTAAAGTCTGGTTTCAGTGGCGCAAGTTGTCCAAGGGGGTATTTAAAACATGGACGAATAAAATGGGTACACCAATTTTTGTTTGAAAACTTTTTATTTGACAATAAAGAATGAGAAATAGTTATTTATAATACAAGTGAAAAAAGTACTACATTTTAGCATGAGATCGTATTGTTTCCCAAGGCGCAGCAATTTTTTTCTGTGACGGAAAAAACGACGATTTGTAATTGAAAAATTATATTATTAGAATATTTAAGTCAGAAAAGTATCGATGTGCAATTTGAATTTTGAAATTAGTAGGCGTTGCTAAGGAAGCTTTTAAAGGAATCAAATATCTGTCAATTTTTGATTGAATCCCAAAAAACACCTTTTCTCATTGTTTGTTGTCGAATAAAAAGTTTTCCCACAAAAATTGGTGTACCCATTTTATGCGTCCATGTTTTGAATACCCCCTTGAACAACCTGCAGGAATAAAACCAGACTTTACAATAATTATTGCGCACACCAGGGGTATTTTCGTTTAATATGATTAGACTATACCAGCACAGGCTGACAAAAACAAGCCGACCCTCTTACCCAGAAAGCAGGGCTGTTCTGAAGGTTTTTGATACGCTGTATCCGTGGTCCAAACCTGTCAGTTGGCTCTAGTTTTAGAGATATTCCAATCCAAACGTTCAAAAATAGCGATGTTTGATTACATAGTCATGCCATAAGTTCTGTCCCTCGTTTTCAAACAAGTGTAGACCTGTTAATACTTGTCCGATTGTTTACATTGTGGTGTCAGTTGATTAAGCGCTTTTCGGGTAATTACATATACCTCAGTTTGTATTGATCTCTCGAAGCATAACGATGGAGTGGGGCAAGGCAGAGAACCGTATTGCAGTGATAGCTTTACATAAGTGTAATCACAGTGCTAGTCAGATTTTTGAACTCTTACGCGGCCTTCAAATATCGCGTAAATTTGTGTCTAGGACCATTCAGCGGTACAATGAGACGTCCTCTGTTGATGACAGGCCAAGAAGCGGAAGACCTCGTCAAGTAAGGACTCCAGCAGCCATCAAAGCCGTAAAAGCCAGGATTCAAAGGAATCCACTCCGGAAGCAGAAGATCCTATCCAGG